TCTCATTTCATTGGGTCCTGTGCTCTTTTTCAATCTCCACTAGTTTTTTTTTTTTTAAATAATTTTTAATATCCTCTCATTGCTTTTCCTCTTCGTTTCCATCTCCTTTCCTCCTCTTTCCTCTCTTCCTCTTCCTCTCCTGCTAGTCTGTGATAGGCAGCATTAGCCAGTGGGTGCCGGGCGGCCTGATTACTGTAAACCATCCACAGCTGCAGCAGCCTAATGAGGAAAACACTCCCATCAGCCGGTAATTGCTGTTTAGGAAGCTGGTTGGCACGAGCGTTGCAGAATTCGCTCAGACCGGCTGCCGCGCAAATCACAACCCGCCTGGCAACTCATCGACAGCACAGCATGTGTCACTCTGTTGGTTTCCACGATTTTTTTTTTTTTCTTTTTTCTCACAAAAAAACTGAGAAATTCATGTTTCTTGCTCTAGCACCTCCTGCTTGGTATTCTTCCCTTCAGACTTATGAATGATATTGAAGCTAATTTCTGAGATGAAGAATGAGAGTGTGGTAGTGTGAAAAATAGGGAATCGGAGAGAGAGTGTAAATTAGAGAGAGGAATATGAAAGAAGAAAGAGTGATACAAGATAAGACGAACTGAGAGAACGAAAAAAGGGAAATGTAATGAGAATGAGCAAAAGGACAGACAGCAAAAAGGGCCAGTGAAAAGTGAAGGAATGTGACAGTGTAAGAGCAACTAAAAAGATGAAGAAGGAGCTATTTCAGGATAAAGCTGCCAGTTGTCCATTTTCTGTACCAAACAGGGAAATACCAAACCCAGTAAACAGGACAGATTTATGTATTTTGCTGAGATCTATAGTCTGTCACATGTTTGTATCATCTACTGTGTGTGTTGAAGAAACATCACCTTAGTCTTCTACTTGCTTTTATTATTGTTGGACAACAGGAGTTAAACAAAGATATAGCAACTGTGTATCTGACTACAAAGACAATACTTGTTATTAATGTAAAACATAAATATACAGAATTTTTCACCTTTAATGACAAAAAAGATGGTAAACGAGAAATGTGCAAGAGCATCACAGAAAAGGTACAGAAAGGATATGAGAAATAATTTAGCAGGTAACATAAAATTAGAGCGAAGAGGAGTATGAAGCAAGGAAAGGGAAACAACAAAAACAATATCAGCCATGTGTTATTACAAGTCAGAGAGACAGTCTTTCAGAGAAACAAGGCAAAGATCAGGCAATAAAAATGTTGAGACATTCTTTCCTTTCCCTCCTAGAACCCCCCAGACTGCAGTAAGGCAAGAAAGCTGGTGTGTAACATCAATAAGGGCTGTGGTTATGGCTGCCAACTCCACCATGTCGTCTACTGTTTCATGATCGCTTATGGCACCCAGCGCACACTCATCCTGGAGTCTCATAACTGGCGGTATGCTCCTGGCGGCTGGGAGACCGTCTTCCTGCCCGTCAGTAACACCTGCACGGACCGCTCTGGGGCCAGCACTGGACACTGGTCAGGTGGGTAGACACACACACACACACACACACACACACTAGCACAATAAACTATACAGTTACAGCCTCAGTGCTGCCAGTGATGATTGTGGTTGGTTGCTTAATAATGAAATTGCACTCATGGTTTTTGGGCTATCCCAGTAAAAAAACAGGGTCTGCCAAACCTTCTATTTGTGCTGCTACAGCAAAATCAAATGTGAACTCCCTGGCTAAGCAGCACTATGCAATTCCTGTTAAAGAAAGTACTTTGGCAGCCAGTGTAGCTGCAGAGAGTTACTGTTCATATGTTTATTTGCCAAAAAAAAAAAGTAAAAATAAAAAATGGCCTACAGTATGGTTATTGCTTTACTGTCTGATAGAGGCTGACACTGCAGGGAATATTCTTTTATTTCAAATTTCCTACATTTATCTTTTGTTTCCTAGTCTTGTTGTTTATGTCTGACGTTAAAACTTAGCAGCAGTTGTAGACCCTGTGTTCATAGTGAACACCATGTTTAAGCATAAGTTAGTTACAACTGGTACGAGAATAATACAGATTAAAGATTGATGTGCTGACTGGGAGGAAATGAATCTTCCTATTAATGCAAAGGTGGCAAGGTCGTGTATAAATGAACAGTTATATAAATTGAAATTGTGTTTTTAATATGATTAATGGATAGTGCTTACAGCGTAAGCTTGTTTCCCTCAACTAAGCAGAGAAAACCAAACCATTGGTAAACAGAGATCCGTTATGATTTGGAGGTTTTACTCTTAAGATTGTGCCTGCCTTCTTCTTTATGATTTTTTCTTTCTTGCTTCTTTTCTTTGTCACCACTATGTCCTTTTAGCTCTCATTTTTCTCCTATTCCTTCATTTGACTTGCTCTCCTGGGCTCTCCCGTCTTATCTCCTGCTCTCCCACTGCCTTTCCTGTCTTATTCTCCTTCCTTTCATATGTCCGTTTCCATAATCTAATGCATTTCTTTCGTGTCCGTCTTATAAACAGCCTCCTATGGATTCGTATATGCCATATGGCTGCTTAAACCCAACAGGCAACTAACTATAAATGCCATTTCCCACCTCAGAGCCTTTATAGTTCTGAAATGTTGTCCTTATATAATCCTACATTTTTGCAGAGACAGTAGTTTATTTTGATCAAGTCAGCTAACTGGCTGGGCATACCTAATGCAAGCCTTATATGTATTTAACTACACATGTGGTCATGCCTGTTTTGTTAGCAGTGCAAGCAAGTACATTCCTTGGGGCAGTAAACCATAGAGGGATGCTAAAGCCTTGGATTAATAAATAGATGTACATTAAATATCTCACTAATTAAGTGGAATGTTTGCCAATGCCAATACAGTTGTCTTAATGTAGTGAATACTGATGTCTCGAAAGCTTCCAATGGTGTCAGTAGGAGGTACCAGTACCAGTTACCAGGTAACAGTAGATACCCAATGATGGGGGCTCACCATTATGCTCCAATTTTCTCTTGTTATTCCCAAACTCTTGAAATCCTGTCTCTGCAAGATCATTTTAGACAAAATCCTACCAATTCTTAATTTTTATAATATTTTTTATTGTTTTTGTTTATGTGGAAAATTGACTTTCCTGGCAGTTTATGTAGCAGTCCTGCTAAATTCAAATTTCTTCATATATCTTTACATGGTTAGCCCACTTTCTGCTACATGTTTCCCTTAGGATGTGAGACATTTATAGACCGAGAAAGGATGAATGGTATATGCAACTATGACAGGTTATTTCTGTCAGGGAAACATATTGCTTGGGGGGAACATCAAAGATAGCGAGGAAGTCATTATGGGACCTGCTGATTTTCTTCCCACAAATGAAAAATGAGAAAAGCAAAACATTACAAAAAAATCCACATTGAATTAACAGTAATGCATAGGGTGGCTGTCTATGATTTACGCTACAGCTGAGATAAAACTGTCTAAAAGAAAAGATAATGAAATAATTGGTAAAACAAAACAAGATGCTGGTTTAAACAAAAGGAAAACATTTTATTAAATCATCAGCATACGGTGACAATATTGATAAAGCCTTGCCTCACCCTACAAGGTGTGATGAAAACAATTACAAAAAGCAAAAAGTCTGCTCAATTTGAACTTGACCACAATCCCCTTCATATACTCTTCTTGCGCTGCTCTGGGTGCTCATGACATGGATTAAAGTCTCTCTGTAAGTCTTGTTCTATCAGCATGTAAAGCCCCCTATTCAATGTGCATTGGAGCTCCTCTACTGTTTTGAAATGGTGACCTTTCAACTTGAATTTTATTCTGGCCCAGAGGAAGAAGTTGCCCACAGACAAATCTGGTCAATAGAGTGGGTGAGAAATAACAACTGTGTTGGTGCAGCCAAAAAGTCAGTGCTTTTATTAACGCACACTCAGCATGATGACGGAGTACCCAGGTACCATCATGTCATAGTCTGGGTCTGGTTTGCGCCAAATATTCTCCAGAATGTTGTTTTTTTCCCCTTAGAACCCCCAAGATGCTACAATAGAACTCAGTGTTATTGGTCTCACCCTTGTAGACAAATCCACAGTGCACAACTCCTTATCCAAAGACAAAGACGAAGCACACTCTAGGTGCACTCTTGACATGGTACAACGTCTTTAGTCTTGGTGACTGTGGGCACTTCCACTTTGAAGACTGCTGTTTGGTCTCTGGGTTGTAGCTGGAGACCACACTCTTGTCACCAGTATTGATCCTTGACATGAAGGTTGGATCCTCTTGGGGCTGTTGCCAGAGATCTTCACAGACTTTACAAAGACATACTAGCAGGTGGCCCCAAGACTACTCATACCTGTTGGCACCGCATTACCATGCCCGATCCATTCATGCACAATAAAAACAAAATCAGAACTTTTTGATCACACCTCATGTAGTGTGTCCACCCTACCCATATTACCCAAGGTTTACCCACCTAATCTGTCTCTTGGCTAGGGATACTGGTGACCAGTGCTGATGCTGCTCTGGTACCAAAACAATACTTGCTTGGCCTTCATTGAGAAATATAGGAATGTTTTCTACAAAACCTGCTGTGCAAGACTTAACCTGGGTAAAAAAACTGTTTACATTTATCAAGAATGTGTGGTATACATGTGGATATGTATTGTATTTGTTGCTGTTCTCGAACTTTTCTGTTCAATGGATAGCGTGAGAGACATTCATACCATCGCGTGCTTGGTGTGACAGACTAAACTCTGCAGAGGAAACCAGTCTCCTTGTAGAATAATGGTTCATTGATCAAATGACTAATTTGCCAGAAAGTGTTTTCCTTTGAGGTTGTCTGTGGAGATATTACTGCCTTATGTGTGAGTCTGAGAGCAGCAGGAGAAACATAATGTTCCCTGCTATGTAAAGACTGGAACAAGAGATCTCAAAGTTCATAAACTCAGTCTCAAATGTATTATGAATGGAGAGGCCAGTATTTTGTGTCTGGATGGTGTCAGTCACAGCTCTCTAGTTTCATTGCTCTGTTAATTTTATGAAATATTTATTGTACTCAGTATCCTTCATATTCTTAACATACAGTGTAGGAATTCTGTGTTGGTGCAGACACATATACTTAAGTGGTGATGCAAACAGGAAATATATACAAAGGCTTTAGACTTAAGACAAAATTTACAAGAGCTTTATGACCTAGTCGGTAGCTGTTGGAGGAAGACATACTGCATATCTGTACATTTGTACCAAGAAGTGCAGGCCTCAAAATATGTCCATTCCCCTTTATGTGAATCATGCCAATGCTGTTATATAAGCAAAGACAGGCCTGGGAATATTTTTTTTTTGTTCAATATTTAATGCCCCTACCAATTCATATTCAGTTCATGCTCCAGCATACACACACACAAATTCAAGCCTCTGTTTCTGGCCTTGTTTTTATCATGTTTTTATGTACCCTTTCTGTGAAAGGCCATTTTTAATGACTCATTATGCCTTTTTTTTGGTAGTGTGTTATGGAGGATGCATTTGCAGCTGTGTTAGGGCCTATCCATGCAAGTTTCAAAAGCCACTTTAGTCTGACAGAACATAGGCCTCAAACTTGTTTTCATGTGAATCAGGGGTTTGCACACACACTTTAGAAGAAAAAAAAAAACTTGGCTCGAGGTTTAAGACTGAGAGAGAGAGAAGGATGTTTCTGCCATGCATATCTCTTTTAGTGAGATGAGATTATCTGGGGCCGTTTGTTAGCGTTTGTGTGGGTAAATGCATGTTTCTTTTTATTATTTTATTTGGATTTTATCATTATCAGACTACCTTTGTACATGCTTTTTTATGTCCTTGCGTTTCCATAGACATTTTGCTGGGTGGGTACATGCGTGTTTGCATACGTGTGTGTGCTGTACACTTTTGTTCACACATGCAGGGGTGCATCATGCACATATATGTGTCACTGTGTGCAGGCAGTTGGTCTTGAAGTGTAGGGAAGTCTGACAGTGCACAGAGGCTTTCTGTTGCCCAAAGAAGTGACCTCTATAATCAGCCCTGCTCATCTCTCTGCCCAGGACTTCATCCAAGCAGGACTCAACCCGAGGAGGGGGGGCATTGCTGAAAGTACAGTACAAGTACAAAAAGAAAAGTACACTGTATAATGATCGATGAATCATTGTAGCTTTTTATCAACCAAAAATACCAAACATTTGCATTTCAAGTCTTTCAAATTGAGCATTTGATGCTTTAATGTGTTTGAAATAAATGGAATGCCTTGGGGTTTGGGGTTGTTGGTTGTAGTTACTATTTTTGCCTTGGGGAAATTGTGATGAGCATTTTTCACTAGTTTCCTACATCATATAGACTTAACAATTGATGAATATGCAGATATAACATCTCCATTAATGATAGGGTACATAATCAGCTGTTTCATCATCAAACTTGAATCCCCAATGCCTCATTTTCTTCCTGTTCTTCTTTGGCCCATATAGGCGAGGCCCATGATAAGGATGTCCAAGTTGTGGAGTTGCCCATAGTGGACAGTCTCCACCCTCGACCCCCCTACTTGCCCCTGGCTATCCCTGAGGACTTGGCTCCACGCCTGCAGCGTCTGCATGGTGACCCATCCGTCTGGTGGGTGTCCCAGTTTGTCAAGTACCTGGTGCGCCCTCAGGCATGGCTAGAGAAGGAGATCCAGCAGAGCACTGCCAAGCTGGGCTTCAAACACCCCATCATTGGGTAAGCTTGCACAGCTTT